GCATGGCTGCCGGCTGCCATCTTGGCTGACAGTTAATTTGCATAAGGATATGCTGATTAGCCAATGGGAAGGGTAGCGGTCCTACGCTAATTACCATGTTTCTCTTTTATTAGTGTAGATAAAAACTGGAACGACCAGTCACTGACGCACACTGACCACCAGAGGGCAGACCCTCAACGCAGGAGCTGCCCCCTGGTGATTACTGCGCTCCCACATCCAACCTCCCACAGCTGGCCGGCTGGTGGGCGGCGTTGGCATTTGGCGTCCGTTCCTTCTGCCCCCAGCCTGATGATCATCGCCTCCTCTCCCAACCCCGCCTGGAGCCTTTGGCTCCAGGCTGGGATGGGTAACCGGGGGTGGGTTGTGGCGAACACAGCCTCTTTCCCAGGGGAGCCGAGGGCCGGCTCCCTCCTTGGGGCCGGCAGCCAACTTCTCAAACCCTGTCCCTCCCCCCTGCCACCAGGCCCCATCAGTCCTGCTCGCCTGCTGCAGTTGCAGTGCAGCGGGAGGAGGGGGGGAGGTGGGAAACCATGTAGGGGCAGGGCGCCGGCATCGGCATCCTGCGTCCATTCCTTCTGTATCCAATTCAGCGACCCGTCGCCTCCTCTCCCAACCCCGCCAGGGCCTTTGGGCCCCATACTGAGATAGGAAACTGGGGGGGGCCGATGCGGCCCATTTCCCAGGAGGGGCTGAGGACCAGCTTCCTCCTCAGGGTCAGCAGCCAACCTCCCACGCCCTGTCCCTTCCCCCGACCCGCAGGCCCTGATTGGCCCGGACATAACCGGTCCTGATCGCTGGCCAGGCAAGGGACCCCACCCATGCACGAATTCGTGCACTGGGCCTCTAGTTCTATATCTATAAACGGCTAAGTTGACTCACGCATGTGCGATACATATAAAGCTCTGGATCTGGAGAGCATTATGCTAAGTGAAATAAGCCAGTCAATGAAGGGAAAATACCACATGATCTCACTCATTTATGGATAATAAAGACCATTATAAACTTATGAACAAAAATAGATACAGAGGCAGAGCTGCCTCGAACAAACTGTCCAACTACAGCGGGAAGGCCGGGGAGGGTTGGGGGGCGGGGGAGGTGAGTAAGAGATCAACCGAAGGACTTGTATGCATGCATATAAGCATAACCAATGGACATAAGACACTGGGGGGTAGGGGAGGTCAGGGGATTGTCAAGGGCAGGGGAAAAAAGGAGACATATGTAATACTCTTTGTAACACTTTAAGCAATAAAACAATAAAAAAAAACTATTAAATCAGATTGTGTAAGTGGAATGACAGGTTAGTGCCTACCAATCAGGCTTAAAGTCCATTGAGGTAATGCAAAATTCCCTACAATGAAATGAGCTATGCTGAATTACGCAGGGAGAAAATAGGGTACACATTCCCCACCTAATCAAAATTTCTGCATAATAAAAAAATTCTCTCCTCCCTACCACGATCCATTTAGCTGAAGTAGTATTGACATATAATCTAAGCACAATCTAATACAAGGGCCCACAGACTTTTTTGGAAGTTGCAGCCACAACATCCTAATATTTCTAAACAAACATTCAGAGCAAAAACCAGATATCTGGCCATCCCCAAACTCAATAGAAATGTGTATTCTTGCAATTTACATTTTGAAAACTTAGAATCTATTTTCCTATAGAAATCTACACTAATAAAAGAGAAACATGGTAATTGGCGTATGACCGCTACCCTTTTCATTGGCTA